AATAAGCACATACACGGCCTTTGCATAGCTAGGATGCCCACAGACAACATCCACTCACACATAAACACGCCGACAAACTAGCAAAGTCATATTCGACCAAAGCTATGCATAGGTGAGGAAAAAAAGAAAAAAAAGAACTCCAAAGTAACCATATACACGATCGGCAAACAACAGTAATGACCATATCTGCACCTACCATTTCATGACACCACAAGGGCAATGAGGTTCCTTAATAGCAACGCCTTCAGGAAGGGAGTGACACTCAAGCGTACTCGTCATCGAATCCAACCACCAAAGTCAGACTCTAGGTTTTCACCCTGAAGAATCAATCCGTGCATATCCGAGCAATGTCTTCAACAAGGTAGCGACATAAAAAAACATCTCCATTGCCAGGTATAACCAACTCATGTCAGACCAAGGCTGTCGCCCAAAGCTTGAGATTGGGTGTTCGAGTGCACCACCATCAAAGTCACTCAAGTGTTGTCGCCACCACTTTTCCGCAATCCCAGCAGCTCCATGTAATGTGACTGCCTCCACTGCACAACCAACCCTATACGGCAAGCCCTGGTCCACAATTCGCTTCTCATCACCAAAGTCAACCACTGAATCTTTAGAGATGAAGACTCCTGAAGATTTTTCTGTGACCGCAGCCATCATGGAGCTGTATGAGTTAACTGCAGCACGGTCTGCAGTCACCACCACCCGACAGGCCAGATATGAAACACCACTACCAAGCCGTGGACCGCGTGATAGGCCAGTAACTCGCTGCCATGGCCCACCTACCAGTAGAGAGCTCGACACACGCTAGCCCCCAAGGCCTAATCTGACCGGAAACCGGCCCGCACAGCAGTAGTTTTCATTAGCACTCTCAACTTCTAAACCAAAGTTTATCTTGTAGTCCTTATTTTGGTTTTATGACTTGGTTATTAAGCTATGGTTTTTTTAGTTTCAGTGGCCTACCTGCCTCCCATTATATATATATGTGGACAGAGGCGTGGATTTGCTTCTGTGAGAGGCATGGCTGTGCCTCTTGGAGACAGGGAAACATGTATGTTTTCCTTCTGCGAGAAGCACGTTTTTGCTTCCCCTTGAGGCACGGCCATGCCTCTCGGAAACGGCTTTCGGAAAGGGAAAAAAGTGCTCCTAGTGTGGTTTTTTCGTCTAGTTTTTTCGTGAAAAAAGATCGTCAAAACTTAGCAACATGCAATCTACTTTTGAAGATCTCGGTGCAAGGAATCCAAGAATGAAAACCGTTCGAGATTTGGATGCACGCTTAAGAGATAAAGCATTTTGAATAAACGGATCTACGAGAAAAACTCCCTCATTGTCCGCAAAATACATCAATCTGGGAGATCTGCTCGTTTTCTTTGATGACATTCTATCTATAGCGCCTCTTGGGCAGAGCACCTCCAGCATGTGGCCATCGTCTTCATCGAGCTTCGAGCGCATCATCCTCATCTTAAGCGCTCGAAGTGCTCTTTCGGGACACCTTCAGTCGCTTACCTCGGCCACGTCATCTCGGCCGAGGGTGTGGCCATGGACGCCGACAAGGTGGCGGCTGTCGCCGCCTGGCTGATCCCGCAGTCTCCGCGGGCTCTTCGCGGGTTCCTTGGCCTTGCGGGGTACTACCGGAAGTTCATCCGGGAGTTTGGCCTAATCGCGGCCCCACTCACGCGCCTCCTCCGTCGCGACGCCTTCTCTTGGGATGAGGAGGCCACTTCAGCATTCGAGGCCCTCAAGGGGGCCCTCACGACGGGACCCGTACTACAGATGCCGGATTTCGACCTCCCCTTCACCGTCGACTGCGACGCCTCCAGTGCGGGGTTTGGTGCGGTCCTGCATCAGGGCGATGGACCCCTCGCCTTCTTCAGCCGCCCCTTTGTTGCACGCCATCTTAAGTTGGCGGCTTATGAGTGTGAGCTCATCGAGTTGGTGCAGGCAGTACGCCACTGGCGGCCCTATCTTTGGGGTCGTTCCTTCCGGATTTGCACGGATCACTACAGCCTCAAGTTCATGCTGGATCAGAGGCTCTCGACGGTCCCTCAGCACCAGTGGATCAGTAAACTCTTTGGCTTTGATTTCACCATCGAGTACCGGCCGGGTCGCCTTAATACCGTCGCCGACGCCCTGTCCCGGCGTGACGCCGATGTGGACGATGGTGCGGCCGAGGGGGCGGCCTTCTGCATCATCACCGGGCCCTCGTTTGCCCTCTACGCCGACATCCGCCGCGTGACCGCGGCCGCGGCCGACGCCCTCCTCTTGCAGCAGCAGCTGGCGGCGGGCGAGCTGGAGGAGCCATGGTGACTAGCCGACGGCCTGCTTCTCCACGGGCGCCGCATCTTCGTTCCGGCGCATGACGATCTTCGTCAGCAGGTGCTGCATCTCGCCCACTCGGCGGGCCATGAGGGAGTGCAGAAGACGCTCCATCGTCTCCGCGCCGACTTCTACATTCCAGGTGATCGTGCCCTGGTCCGTGACTGGGTACGGTCTTGTGTGACGTGCCAGCGCAACAAAACGGAGACATTGCGGCCAGCTGGCATGCTTCAGCCCTTGGAGGTCCCATCTCAGGTTTGGGCGGACATCTCCATGGATTTCATCGAGGGCCTTCCCAAGGTGCGCGGCAAGTCCGTCATTCTCACATTGGTCGACCGCTTCTCCAAGTATGCTCATTTCATCGCCCTTGGCCATCCATATTCAGCGGCATTTGTCGCACGGGCCTTCTTCGATGGCATTGTCCGTCTCCACGGGTTCCCTTCTTCGATCGTCAGTGATCGGGATCCTGTGTTCACGGGCCATGTATGGCGCGACCTTTTCCGGCTGGCGGGCGTGAAGCTCCGCCTGAGCACCGCCTTCCACCCTCAGACGGACGGCCAGTCTGAGATCGTTAACAAGGTGATTGCCATGTATTTGTGTTGTGTTACAGGTGATTGCATGGGTGGACTGGCTCTGGTGGGCGGAGTACTGCTACAAACCTCTTATCACTCCGCCCTTCGTGCTACACCCTTTGAGGTGGTTTATGGTCGGCCGCCCCTGCCGATCCTGCCGGTTGATTCGGCCTCGGCACGGACCGAGGCAGCCAGGGCTCTTCTGAGGAGCCGTGATGAGATGCTCGCTGAGGTCCAGCAACGACTCCTCCAGGCCCAGCAGTTGGCCAAACGATACTATGATGGCCACCATCGCGAGGCGGAGTTCGTGGTAGGAGATTGGGTCTGGCTGCGTCTACTTCACCGCTCTACGCAGTTGTTGGACCCGCGCGCGAGGAAGAAGCTGGGTCCTCGCTATGCCGGTCCCTTTGCTATCCTGAAACGCATTGGGAAAGTGGCGTACCGTCTTCAGCTTCCGGCCGGCGCGCGCATCCATGATGTCTTCCATGTCGGGCTGCTCAAGCCATTCCGCGGTGATCCACCCGCGGCATCGCCGGCCTTTCCGACGGCCTCGGACGGCCGTCTCCTTCCTGCACCAGAGAAGGCGCTGAAGGCCCATTTGCGCCGAGGCTCCTGGTACGTGTTGATTCGGTGGGCTGGACTACCAGAGGAGGACGCTACTTGGGAGCAGCGCGAGGAGTTCCACCAGCACTACCCCGACTTTCAGCTCGAGGACGAGCTGTTTGCGCAGGCGGGGAGAGATGTTATGACCGGCCAGGTCTATGGCCGCCGTAGGCCCACTGGGCAGGCTTAGGCCCAAGTTATCTTAGGTTTATTTTCAGAATATGGTTACATATACAAGTTGTAAGACTATTTTGAGAATTAAGAAATAAGACTATTCTATTGCCCGGCTCCCAGAGGAGCCGGAACCCTAAACCCTAGTCGCCTGCTGCTTGCGCCGCCGCCGCCAACCCGCAAGGACGGCGCCTCGCCGCCGGCCGCCGCGCTCCAGCCCTCGGCCACCTCCCTCCTTCCCGTATAGTCTACGCCCTAGGCAGGGCAAAACCCTAGCTCCTAACAGTTCGTAAACTGGGCATAGCACCTGCCTCAAAGCCCAGGTACGCCGTAGTGTCTTTCCCAGACCATATTTTTAGGAACTCCAGAACTGGGAATAGCCCCGTGCCTATCATAGCTCTTTCATTAGGGATTTCAAGTGCTTCGAATTCAAGGTGGATGAAAGAGGGAAGCTCTCCAAGCAGATGAATATCCTGAGTTGCTGTCTCTTCAACACTCAACTTAAGGAAGCACGGGCAATGGAGACCAAACAACAATTTTGGAACTCTCCATAACCACCAATAATGCAATTCAAGACGCTCAATATGTCGAAAAGGATTGGATAATGAACCCAGCTGCTGGCTATCCTCACACTCAACATGATCGCCGCCAAAGATCAACAGGGATTCAAGGTTATAGAGCTTTCCAATGGAGCAAGCCAAAGCATCAACTTTTGGCAACCCCAAACTAGGACCTACTGACATACGCAGTTCCCTCAGATTGGTCAGCTCGCTGAGATGCATAAAACACTCCAGCGAGCTCTTCTCCATGTCAAGCCATCGCAGAGTCCGCAGTGATTTCATAGTCATCATGCCTTCAGGCAACTTTGTCCCATATGGAAGAAGCAGATAGGACAGGCGGGGCAAATTAACTATATCTGAGGGGATGCTCTCCATCAGTGTGCAATTTTCTATGTCTAGTGTCTCCAAGTAAACAAGCTCACCAAGTTTAGTAGGGAGCTCTATCTTCCTAGCTCTAACCATCAGATACCTCAGCAGAAACAATTGGCTAGCAGCGGTGAGGTCAACTATCTCCCGCTCATTAGAAATGGTTAGCACCCTAAGGTACTTGAACCACAAAAGAGGGAGTATAGCGTCCTCGAACAGTAATGATCGAACTTGTGACAGCCTAGTAGCAATAGCAGTGTCATATGTTGCTCCACCAACAGCCATGGAGCACAGGGATAATCGGCGAACCTTGTATTTGCAGAGATGCAGCAGTCTTGCCATGTCCTCAGAATTGTGTGCCACACTTACAAAATTATCTTCTACACACTTGCTTAAGATCAAATCAAGCATCATGTCATGTACTCTGCAACACAACACCTCTCCATACTCATTTTCATCATTTTCTGCCAGCTGAATCATGTTTCTATTGATAAGCTCATTGAAATAACTCCTGCCAACATGCTCCAAATCTGGCCCATGCAAACTACTGACAAAGCCTTCACCTATCCATTGTTTAACCAGATCATCCCGTGGTATGATGTGGTCCTCAGAATACATACCAAGGTACAGAAAACATGGCCGGAGATGAAGAGGCAGATGGGTGTAGCTAAGGTTTAATATACTATTCATCTCTTTCAATGAAGGATTTGTGGCAGAATGGGCACCCAAAGATTTCCTTATGCTCTCCCAGTGTTTCTTTGATCTCACTTGAGTAGCTAGTAGGCTAGCTATAGTGACAATTGCAAGCGGCATACCACCACACTTCTTCAAAATTTCAGCCGCAACATCTTTAAGATGGGGTGGACAAACAACTTCAGACCCAAATACTCTATTGGAGAATAACATTCTTGAGTTCTGATCACTGAGGGGCTTCATTGTGTAAATGCGCCCGCGGTCATTGTGACAGACCATGCCAGCCACATCTTCCACTCGTGTGGTTACAATTATTCTACTCCCATTTCCATTTTCTGGAAAAGCACAACTAATAGTATTCCATGCTGATTGATCCCACAAGTCATCAACTACAATAAAGGTACCTATTGAAATGTTTGCACATGGTTATATTGTAGCAGGATATATTGTAGCAGGATATGACTACGTTGAAGACAGAAGCATAAAAATAAATAAAAACAAACTTGTTGTAAGCAAGTCTATTGCTCTGATGGTTGGTCCCTCCCGCTCCCTCCCTCCCTCCCTCCCTCACAAGACTCTTCCAATAAACATCTTAGCAATTTTTTAACATAGTGAAAAAGGTACAATACTTAAATCAGTTTTTCCCAAAGATGTATAGAGTGGGATCTGCTAAAGAAACATTATAGAATAGCACCCTTTGATGAGAGATATGTGCCGGAGGCTTCAAGAAAACTTGTGTTTTCAGAATTATATGAAGCCAGTAAAGAAACAAAAAAATCCATGGTTATTTGAACCCGAGTACCCAGGCAAAAGGCAGAGTTTCTGCTCCAACATGTTTTTGTAATTTTGAATCTATATCACAAACGTAAAAACAAGAAAGAAGTCAAACTTCCCACATGCATGGACAAACAAGCATAACGAGAACAAGGACTGACCAATTACTTGCTACTTCAAATTTAAGATGACTATAAAACGTAAGTAATTACCTTTTATCTGTGAGATACTTCCTTAGCTCTTCAATGATGTCGTCAAACCCGCAATCATGAGAAGAGGCATTTATCCCAAGTTTCAATTGTAGGCGATTGAGAAGCACTCTCAAATCAGGCCTCTGTGAAACTGAAAAGAATGCCACACAATCAAAATGCCCTTTGATCTTGTCAAACACATGTTTGGCAAGTGTAGTTTTACCCAGGCCTCCAAAACCAACAACGGACACAACCATTAGTTTTTTTTTTGAGTATTCATCAACCAACTGATAACCTCTTCTCTAGAGCCTTCAATGCCCACAAGGTTGGCCGCCTCCTGGTAGACCGCTCGCAGGCGAGCATCGACAGCCACAGGGCCAAAGCTAGGCTTGCAATCATCAATCTTGTAACTCTCACGTCGAGAATTTGCTTCTACCGCAAGAGTCCTAAGCTCTTCCATCTAGTTGGAAATTCGATGTAGCTCGCACAACCTCTTGTGAAGTTCAGCAGCCTCCCAGAAAAAGCATACATCAACATCCTCACCCGCGAATTGGCGGATGAAGTCATCAATGCAATTTTCCATGTCGTAGGAAATCTCCCTGAGATCATCCCTCCAATTTTTTACCCCTGGAGCAAGCTCATTTATGAGCTCCGGCAGCTCAAGAGCAGCGTGTATGGCGCTCAACTCCTTCTCAAGGAACGACGCCTGCTTCCTTACCTCTTTGTGCTTATTGTACTCATCGTTGATGAAAGTGGTAAGCTTGCCACTAAGGGTGCTCATCACCCCGGTCGCCACACTCACGGTTGATGTCCTCCTCTTCTTCTGTTGGCTCACTTTGCCATCCTCCTGCTCCACCTCCAGCGATGATGGTTGCAGTTGGAGTGGTGCAACATAATCATCCATCAACTCTAGTTCATCTTCCATCTTGGAGAAGCTTATCTGCAAAAAAAAATTAAACAAGATTAGGAGAAATCACTAAATAGCACATATTGTACTAGCCGCCCATGAATGTGGTAAGCTTGCCACCAAGGGTGCTCATCACCACAATAGGCAAACTCATTGTTGGTGCCTTTCTCTTGTTCTCTTGTCTCACCTTGTCATCCTCCTTCTCCACCTCCGGTGCCGATGGTTGCAGTTGGGATGGTGTGATAGAATTATCCATCAGCTCGCCACTAGCGACAGAATTACACATCAACTTCAGCTCATCCACTAGCTTCGAGAAGCTTATCTGCAATAAAAATGAAAATATGTTTAGGAGAAATCACTAAATAACGCGTATTGTACTCGTTGTCCATGAACGTGGTAAGCTTGCCATGGAGGATGCTCATCACCCTAGACGCCACACTCACGTTTGATGCCTTCCTCTTCCTCTCCTGGCTCAATTTGCCATCGTCCTGCTCCACCTCCAATGTTGATGGTGGCAGTTTTGATGGTGTAACAGCAGAACCATCCATTAATTTCAACTCATCCGCCAGCTTGGAGGCAATGCTTATCTGCAACAAAAATTAAAAAAAAATGGCCATGACACATCACTAGAAAATTACTGGTAGATTATATACATTTACTATTGAGTGATTATACCTGCCCTTCTGTTGAGGTACCTACATCACCTGTAATAGACCAATTTGAAATTCCCACATCACCCAGTATTCCACGGATGATAAACCATGTAGCTGGCCTGTTCCCTGGGTAATAGTTTGTACATTCTATCCCTATCTCGGCACATGCCTTTACTTGTTCCAGTGATGTGTGACTATTTGATGTCCCAAACATGTCCGTCCAGCTTTCAACTACCTGCAATTTGATAACCGTCGTTAGTTATAAAGAAGGATGACATGCATTTAGAATATAAAAAACACGCAGCAGTATTGATTTTTGAATTTCTCACTTGATTAATTTTAGTGTTATTAATCATTCGATGCACATAATGACTTTAGAAATCAAAACCATCTTTATTTTATTTTTGGTGTGGAAGATCATTACAAAGACAACATTCAAATCTTGTCATTTGCAAATTCCAATGTTAATTAGATACTCTCAATGAATATACGGGTTGCACTTTTTCCCAAAAAAATTGTGGTTTCTGCTAAACATGTTATCTATAGTGGCTTTTTTAAACCTCACACACAATATAATTACCTCCTTAACACTGGAGCTCTCCTTATGTCCCATAAGGATCTCCATGATTATAACACCCAAACTATATATGTCTGTCTTGAAGGTGATTTCTCCATTATTTAAGAATTCTGGTGCCATATATCCCCTACATAAAAATTGGTACAGTTTGTTCGATTAGTGAATAAAGTGTATGCAGCAAAGCTGGTAGATGACTGATAAAAACATCAAGTTCTCAAATAAAGTTGCTAGCCTACATTGTCCCAAGCTTGTGATCAGTAATAGCCCGACTCTGGCTTCCACTTAAGCGTCGTGATAGACCGAAATCCGCAATTCTGGGCACCATGTTATCATCCAATAGTACATTCTGAGGTTTGAGGTCCATGGGAATAATATGCTGTTGGTGAAGATAATCTACGCCCTCACAGATCCCCTTGATTATTTGGTAACATGTGGTCCACTGGAGTCGACAAGATGCATCTGCATAGAATATACAATAAAACAAATAATTAGTACTATATGTGGTGGGATAAGCAGTTCAGTGAAGGGCCTTCGTGAATGATTGCCCGCTTTCCAAAGCCAATATAATAACAAGTTTGAAGGAAGTTCTGGAAACACAAATCTCATTGCCAAAACATGGTTTTGACAATTGGGAAAAAAAGTACTCCCTCCATTCACTTTTGTAAGACCATTTAGACATTTAAGATAGCACCTAAAACAGTTCAATTTCAGCTGTCCTAAACGACTTACAAAAGTGAACAGAGGGAGTAGGTACCACTTCATTTGAAAATTCAGATGCAAATATCTGGGCTTGCCAACATATTTGGCTTGGAAAATTGAGATGCTATGGTTTTTCGTTTGGTCACTTGACTACGTTGCGCGGATACTTCAAAAAGTGCGCGTATCCAGCCGGATACTGCCCCGATACTCGGATACTGCCCCGATACTTCCCGATGCGTATCCCGTAAGTATCCCTCGATATTTTGATATTAAAAAAAGAAAATAATGTTTGATACTCCTAGGATACTTCTGCGATACGTTTTGGATACTTGAACCCCTTCGTTCGACGTGAAATCCCCTCAATAATAAAGGCGCCTTTGAAGATTCCCAACATGGGCGTGAGTTTATGTGAAAACATGTCTATCAATATTTTTTATTCAATTGAAAGGTGAGCAAGAGAGAGTCGATGCATTGATTGGAACAGCAAACCTGGTCAAATCTCACGGCCAATTAATAAAAGTGGACTAAGTGCAAGAAAAGGAAGGGGTAATCTTATTGAGGCATGCTTTAACCTAAAAGCTCCTTAATTTTTTTTCTTCATATTTGTAATAATTAATATTTAACATCTATATATAAACGTATTCCCGTATCCATGTTTTTAGAAAATTGACGTATCGGGCGTATCCCCGTATCGCGTATCCGATACGTATCCAAGTATCCATGCAACGTAACTGCGCTCTTCTCTCTGAGGCAAAGAGGATGAGAAATCAAAATATGCCCAAACCAAAGAGTGCATCTTTTGTAGCGGTATACGAACAGAGCTGAAAACTACCATTTAGTGTGCAAAAAGAATTAACAAAGCTCAGCAGAGTGGCAACCAATAAATACTCTGGACTGTAGTTGGTAGACAGTTAGTACTACTACATAGTAGAAATGCAAGGAAAGGTATAAGGCTAATCTGATTTTACCGGATAGATAGTCAGCAAGGGACCCTTTGGGTAGGTACTCGAAGCAGAGCAACCTCTGCCGCACGTCTGCCCAGACAAGCCTCCCCTCGTACAGCCTCATCACGTGTTGCGTCTCGGAGCAATATCCTAGGAATCGCACCGTGTTCTTGTGCTTGACTCCAACAAGACAGGCGATCTCACTTTCGAAATTCTTGTCCAGGATCTCGAATCGCTCAAAGAGCTGCTTCACGGCGACAGTGCGACCACTAGGAAGCACTCCCTATAGCCCACATGAATCATGTCAGCTCTAAAAAAACTTTTGTTTTTGACTGTATTATCTTGTTAACTCAGAGTGCAGGGTCTGGCTGTGTTTACCTTGTAGACTGCTCCAAACCCACCACTGCCGATCTCTCGAGCGTCGGACAAATTCTCTGTAATTGACATGAGAAGAGAGAAGGGTAGATCGACTGGATCCACGCTCTCGTTGAGCAAAGCCTTCTCCAAGGCAGCAAGTTTCTCACCGTCCGCCATGTCAGTGTTGTACACAACTCCCTGATCAGAGGAAGTCAATAGGCATTATTCTCCTAATCCATGATTAACTAAGTTGTTCATTAACAGAAAGCATCAGAGGAAACTGGGGTAAAATATCTGCGATCCCCTGATTATACCTATGGTACAATACGAATCTAGCACTAACTGACAGAGAATTAGTCTCCATCACCATCTTAATGTTTCACGGGAACAGCAGGAGCTTTGCCTGGGGTCAGTAGAAGGAAAACTGTACAAGTCATCATCTTCATGTCTTACCTTTCTCTCTTTCTCTGCTAGAGAGGCAGCGTCTGGCCGTCGTTCGCGCGACCAAGAGGATGGCTGTCGTTACATGATTCCCTCACGACCTGGTGGAGGCGTCCTCGCTGGAGAAGAGCTTGACAGAAAGGGGTGGGGGTGGGGAGGCGGTGTGGAAAAAGGGTTGTGCTGACAATGAAGGAAGCTTTGGCAATGGAAATAGAAAGTCCTTTCTACTGTTCGACCTTGTGATCTATTCGTTCATGGTCATGTGGGGCAAGGGTAGCAAGTAGATGCATCTATTTTAACATGGGTGAAATTGTGTGTCCGTGTAGATACGTAGTATCTATCATAATGCATGCTGATTGCTGTCTGAACTTTCTCTGAAATACAAAAACAGTTAGATAGCTGAAGCATATCTCCCAACTAGTTCTTCTTATGTTTTCAATTAGATAGGCCGGCTGCTCAAGCCAAGGTGGTAGCAGGTAGATGTTTCTATTTTATTGTTGGCAGATTTGTAGTAACATGGCTGGAAATTTCCTACTAACAAACAAGCGTGTTAGTTCAGTTGTCACTCTCATTCGATGAATTGGAAGTTAGTAGCCATTTGCGAGATGCTCAACTGTATTATTCTAGTGTTTCTCCAAAAGGGAAAGGAAGAAATTTTTGTGCTAGCAAGCATACGTGAAGAATGACTTAGTCTTTGCTAACGCTTCAAGGCCACGTCTAGAACTTCCAAATCAACTACTACCATTGCTAACAAAAAATATTTCATTGGAAGCTACTTTGACAGGCTAGTAGTAAATATATATATTTTGATACTTACAAGGGGGATTATTCACCACAGTTTGTTCTATTATTACTCTTTTGAAAATTATCAAGTATGTGCACAAACTTCAGAAGAACATACTGTGAAGTATGTGCACAAAATTCAGAAGAAGACACAATGGTGGTGGAAGTACTTTAATTCACTTAGCCAGCTCGGGAGAAGTAAACTAAGAACTCAGGAGGGTCAAGCATATGTTGAAGTCTGTGCACAAAATTCAGAAGAAGATGTAGTTCAAGCATGCAGGCAACAGGAGCAGGCTAATGCCATTTCACAACCTAGTCCCCCTCCAAACAGTGATATACATGCATGATGTCCTAATATTGGTGTACACGACCATGAATTGCTCAACTGAATAAGTCCTAGCTAAATGAAAACCATTGAACATACGAACAGGAGTACTACACATTCAGGAAGGCCCGTGATTAATGCACAGTAACCTATTGGCTAATAATTTCTTGCGACTGTTAACCACTAGTGTACTTAGTAACATGTGGTGTTTGGCAGAATAATTAGAGGATACCAAAAAAAGAAGCTAGCAAACGCTGCTATTTGTTACCAGGATGCACGTACCTTGACAAAAGAGGAATAGTTTCAGAAACAGACACTTGGATTGAAATCTCTGCAATAGTCTGATATGCTTCTGCTACTGCAGCCCCGAAATCATTGCAGAAATGGAGATAAAGATTACGCGGTTCCAAAGCTGCAAGCACGCTTTGGCGATTTGGGGTATGGATGTTAGCCCAAACTACTAGTAACTAGCTCTCACTTGTACACTTAACAGAGGAGAACTAGCTAGATGTTTCAGTTTGCACACAAGCTGCTGCCGCACACACACATGAAGTGAGGAGCTCACGTAAATACTACTTCTCCAGCTTAGCCTTTTGACAGGAGAAAGACTACTACTACTCATCTACTTCTCCACCTCAGTCTTTTTATCGGATAAAGCCTAGCGCAAGCAATGGCAGCGTCCTGTAGACTGGGTTTGACACAACAATCTCCCCCTCAAACCTGTCGAAGGGGCTTGACATCGACGATCCTGACCTTGTCGCGCAGCTCCTGTAACTGAACACGACCAGGTGCCTTCGCTGGGATGTCTGCCTTCTCGGGCTTTGTGTAGCCCGTACGCCATGCTCCTGCTTTGCTACTAGAGTAAGGACCTCCTACAAGTCCTCCCCCGTGCGATGTACGTAACATTTCGCGACGAGCCGCGCCTTGTGCTTGATGATGGTGCCGTGCTCGTCCTTCCTGATCTCG